TGGGCCTGTCAGCACGGACCCGGCTTACATCCTCCAAGAGGGGGTTCCTGCGGGGACTTAGGCATTGTGGGTCCTGGCAGGGGACCCCTTATCGCTGGGCCATGTCCCACGTTTGCTTCTGTTTTGAACAGCTGGCCTCTTTGTGATGGGCAATATAAGCTGTGTTTTATAATAATATTAATATTATATTATATAGTTTAATAAATATATTTAAAATTTAATTTTTTATAAATTAATATATAAAATATATTATAAATTAATAAACATATTATATAATATATAATATATTAATATATAATAAAGTTGTAAAACAAACAAAAACTATGGAGAGATAAATAAATGCAAAAGGACACCCTTATCTCTTAGTGACTGTGGCGAACAGTTACGGAACGTTTGCAGTTGAGGCCGGAAATGCAAGAAAAACACAAGCAACGTGGGATTCTAACGGCGCCTTCTGCAGTGTGGGGGTCACGGCCGAGCCCCCGGCACGGGCAGAGCCCGGGCGGCCCCGTGTGTCTCGAGCGTCCCATTCCAGGGACGTCTGGGGCCAGCAGCCGCCCCGGCACCCGCAGACGGGCTGAGAGTCTGGGGGCCCAGCCGACCGCTCAGGGTCTACTCGGGAAGGAACAAGCTCTCCATATTTCTCAGCCAAATTTCAGGTCCCTGAATCTAAAAAAAAAAAAAGCCCAGTTGGACTTTCCGGGTTCAACGTCACCTGACTTCACCCAAGAAAACAATAATTTCTTTGTTTCGGCAAATGCGTGAAAGTAGTTATTTAATGTTTAAAAACGGTGTTCGACACCCATATTCAAAGGCAGCTCTGCGGGGCCCAGTGACTCGGTTTCTCCAAGGTCTCCCGAGGCTGCAGACTGTTCCCTCCTCCCCCCTTTTGTGCCGTGTCCCCGACTGCTCGGGGGTCAGCCTGTCCCTCCCCGGTGACGTTCAGCTCTCCGCCCCCATCTCCCAGGCCCGCGTCTGACCTCCAACCTCATCCGCCTGCCGGGGGACGTCCCCAGGCCCCGACGCTCAGCCCGTCACCCTGCGGGGGCAGCAGGAGCGGGAGGGGCGGGACGGCGGCCCTGGGTCCCCCGAGTGTGTGCGGAGCCCCGGACGCAAGGCCAGCGGGGTCGGCGAGATGACCGGATGCGCCAGGCCCGCAAAGAAGTGCGAGAACCCACACCCCGGCACACGTGATCCACCTGTAACCCGCACTCCGCCCGCACGTCTCCTCTTCGGTTGCTTTTATCGGGTTTACGCAGTTCTATTGCACAAAAGAGCAGCTCGCTCCAACCATTTCCCAAGAAAATCCTCTTACAAAGAGCTGATGCCAGTCCCCCCTCCCCCGGACGGCGAGGGCTTTGCAGGGTGGGTGGGGGCCGAGGGGCTGGGAATGCGAATCTCACCCTAGAAGCGCCTCCAGGTCTCACGGTGGCATCAAAGAATAGGACGTGTCTTATTTACCTTTTTGTAGCGTGATCCGTACTCTTTTTATTTTTTGAGACAAAAGTCTCACTCTGTCGCCCAGGCTACAGTGAGTGCCGTGGCGTCAGCCTAGCTCACAGCAACCTCAGACTCCTGGGCTCAAGCGATCCTCCTGCCTCAGCCTCCTGAGTAGCTGGGACTACAGGCATGCGCCACCATGCCCGGCTGATTTTTTCTATATGTATTAGTTGGCCGATTAATTTCTTTTTATTTTTAGTAGAGACGGGTCTCGCTCTTGCTCAGGCTGGTTTGGAACTCCTGACCTCGAGCAATCCGCCTGCCCCGGCCTCCCAGAGTGCTGGGACTACAGGCGTGAGCCACCGCGCCTGGCTAATTTATTTTTCTATATATTTTTAGTTGTCCAATTAATTTCTTTCTATATTTAGTAGAGACGAGGGTCTTGCTCTTGCTCAGGCTGGTTTCCAAATCCTGACTTTGAGCGGTCCTCCCTCCTCGGCCTCCCAGAGTGCTGGGATCACAGGCGGGAGCCGCCGCCCCCGGCCCAGGACATGTCTTATTTAACGTTTGGTAGCTTGATGCCTCACGCCTAAGCCCTCAAATAAATCAGCCCTTTGGTTGGGATAATTCTTGCAGCTGGGGCTGCGCTGCCGCCTCTCCCCACCAGGTGGCGACAGAGCCCCCCAGGTGTCACAACCACCAACCTGTCTTCAAACACGGCTCATTGTCCCCAGGTGCCACCGGGGCCACCAACGGCTCAGCCTCCGCCACGTGGGCCCCCTCCGCACCCTGCCCCGGCCCCCCAACTGCCGGGGCTGGCGGCTTTCACCAACGCGACCTCGGACCCCTCCCTGCCTCCCCGCGCCTCGGTTTCCCCACCTGCCCTTGGCAGTCCCCTCCTCGCCTCGCCACGGCCCGCCGCGCTCACCTGTTGAGGAAGATGCTGCTGACGTCGTCGTGGGTGATGGGCGGCTTCTTGGAGCTGGCGGCCATGCGCAGCGGGCGCAGGAAGTTGTTCACCAGGATGTGCAGCTGCTGCACGTACTCGGCCTCGGCCTCCAGCATGCTGAACACCACCTGGTTGCGCTTGCGCATGCTGTCGGCGTGCGGGGACCGGATGTAGTCCTGGATCACCGTCTTCCACTTGCGCCGGCACAGCCAGCCCCGCAGGAAGCTCTGCACCTGTGCGGGTGGGCGGGCGGGCGGCGGTCGGACGGCCGGCGGGGCTCTCTTCAGGGGCCGGCCTGCTCGCCCCCGAGCCCGGCACACCGGGGCCCGGCCCGGCCCTGCTGTTTGCACGGGGCCGAGAGGCCCTCGGGGTTGATTTTCCCCATCTGTGAAATGGGGCCAGCAAGGCCTCGGCCGGGGCGGAGGGGGAGGCCCGGGACCCACCGGGCGTCTCTGCAGGGCTCGTGGGGAAGGCAGACTCTCACGCCCACCCCGGACCTCCGCGTCCTAACGGGGACCCGGGGTTGCCGTGGAAACACTCGCTAAAGGAGGACAGGGGTGGCCCCGGGTGTCTGCAGAGGGTGGCCCGGCTCACGCCCCGTCCCGGCTCACGCCCCGTCCCATCTCACGCCCCGTCCCGGCTCACGCCCTGTGCCGGCTCACGCCCTGTCCCATCTCACGCCCTGTCCCGGCTCACGCCCTGTCCCGGCTCACGCCCTGTGCCGGCTCACCCGTGACACGCCCGGAAGCCCAGGAGTTTCAGTGAAAGCTCGTCTGGGTAGGAGGGGCCGATTATCAAATTGAAGGGAACATGGTAAATTAGTCAACCTCAATCCTGGGCCTTACCGCAGCCTCTCCTCCTGGCCTCCCGGCCCGGGGGTGGAAGCGAACAGAGACACTTGACTCGGTTTCCCTGGAGCCGGCTGCTTGGAAGAGCCTGGCGCTGCCCAGGGCCTGGCAAAGGGCCCCGGACTCACACGCATGCAGGCCGGGCTGTGTCGAGCCGCCCGGCCTCCTCCTGCCTTTCCTGCTGGGGAGCAGGGGCATTGGGGGGCTACTGGGGACCGAGCGGAGAGGCACCCCAAAATATTCTCCCCTGAAGGGGGCCTGAGCCCCACAGCCGTCTCTACGACAGAGGGTTTTCTCTGCGGGTACGGAAGGCCGCAGAAAAAGTGGTCCACCCTGACCGGCTGCTCTAAGGGAGGGAGGGCCGGGGGTCAGTGGTCGGGCCGGGCGCCCCTGAGGTAGAGCTTGGCTCAGACCCGGTGACGGTTCCCAGAGCCCCGAGGCCTGGCAGGTCCGAGAGGTGCGAGAAGCTGGTGGGGGGACTTGGGGGGGCGCCGGCGAGTTGGGGGGTGTCAGGGCTGCTGGGCCTTGTGTTTCTTTTTCTTTCTTTCTTTTTTTTTTTGAGACAGAGTCTCGCTTTGTTGCCAGGTGTAGAGTGGAGTGCCATGGCGTCAGCCTCGCTCACAGCAAACCTCAATCGTCCTGCGGCTCAAGCGATCCTCCTGCCTGCAGCCTCCGGAGTGAGCTGGGAACCTACAGGCATGCGCCACCATGCGGCTCAGTGTTTTTCTATATATATTTTTAAGATGTCAATTAATTTCTTTCGTATTTTTAGTATGAGACGGGGTCCGCTCTTGCTCAGGCTTGGTTTCGATACTCCTGACCTGAGCAATCCGCCCGCCGTCGGCCGTCCCAGAGTGCTGGGATGACAGGCGTGAGCCGCCACGCCCGGCCGGGGCCTTGTGTTTCTCCTGTGATCCAGGACCCGGGCGGCCAGGTTTGAATGTCGCTCTGCAGACACTTAGCTGTGCAACCTGGGCAAAGTCGCTCTGCCTCTCTGTGCCTCAGCTTCCCCGTGTTCGAAGCAGAAACAACAATAACCCTCAGAGGGTTTCGGCGGGGATGGGGTTCACCTGCACAGAGCTCCCAGACAGCGCCTGGCACGTAGAAGGTGGTTAGTCAGTGTCAGCTATTTCTATCTTTGAGAAACTAAAAAATCCAGATTTGGGTGTGACGTGTTCAGCGTTTGAGGCACTGGCACCAAACGGAAAGGGAGAAATGCAAAACCCCCACCGCGTGGGCTGCAACCTCCCCACGCCGGCGCGCCGGTGCCAGCGGGCAGGTTCCAGTGGGGCCGGCGTGGGGGCATCTGTGCTCTCAGCAAACGGGCTTCTCTGGTTTCACCTGCTTTTCTGTTTTCTTTTTTCTTTTTTGAGACAGAGTCTCACTTTGTTGCCCAGGCTAGAGTGAGTGCCGTGGCGTCAGCCTAGCTCACAGCAACCTCAGACTCCTGGGCTCAAGCGATCCTCCTGCCTCAGCCTCCCGAGTAGCTGGGACTACACAGGCATGCGCCACCATGCCCAGATAATATTTGTATATATATTTTTAGTTTTCCAGCCAATTTGTTTCTATTTTTTTTTTTAGTAGAGACGGGGTCTTGCTCTTGCTCAGGCTGGTCTCGAACTCCTGACCTCAAGCATCGATCCTCCCTCCTCGGCCTCCTACATCGCCTGCTTTTCTCGGGGTGGGTCAGGAGCCCTGCCTGGAGTCTGGCCGGCCGCAAATGTGACCACCAGGCCCCTCCCCCGGCCACGTCACCCCCCGAGGGCCCCGGCGTGTCACCAGCCGGCCACAGGCAGACCCCGGGCGCTGCCTGCACTGCGGTGGGCTCCCCGCCGAGGTCTGGGGGGACTTGGGCAGCTGCGGGAGGCGGAGTGGGGGAGGGGACAGCAGGGGACACGTGTGTGTCAGGGTGTGGGGGGGTGACAATACGGAGGTGGCCCCGGTGAGGGGCATGCCGTGGCAAGGAAAGCTCTCGGCAGAGGGTCCCGGGCCCTTCCAGCTCCTTCCTCTGGTGGAGCCTCAGTTTTCCCGTCTATAAAATGGGCTGAGCCACCCCGGCCACAGGGCTGACCGGGAGAAAGGGCCAGACGAGGAGCCGTTCTGGGGTCACGGCTGTCGGCTCCGTCCCTGGGGCCGGGCCGGTGGGTGGGGTGTCCCTGGGGAGGGTGGCGGCGGGGCCTTGGGGAGGCGCCCCCGGCCCGGGTGGCCCCGAGAGGGACAGAGCTCGGAAGGGCCGGCAGTGGGAAGGTACAGACCTTCTTGATTTTCTTGATGTCGCTGTCCTCGTCGCTGGGGGCGACGGTCTGGGTGGACTGGATGCGCTCGTTGTCCTTGAGCAGGGACGAGATCTGCAACAGAGACAGAGCCGGCTGCCGAGAGGGCCCCAGCGACGCAGACCCCCGACCTCCTGCCGCCGGCCAGCCGGAGGGCCCCTCTCTGTGCGTCCCGGCCACCACCCCGGACGCCCCGACAGCCGGGGACGGCAGGGGCTGCACGGAGCTGGCTGCCAGGCTCGGTGGCCGTGGGGGGCCCCTTCCCCGCGTGGTCTGCGGCGCTAAGCGAATTCTCAGTTTGTGTGGCCACCACGCCCATCCGTCTCTGGAACTTTCCACCCTGCAGATCAGCCCGCCCCCCGCAGCCACAGCCCGGTCTCCAGGGCCCCGTCTGGGCAGAGCCGGGCAGCGTGTGTCTTGCATCGCCCAGCACGGGGTCTTCACGTGCCGCGTGGCGTGTTGGGATTTCCTTCCCTTTCGGGGCGGGGGGCAATATTCCACCGCGTGTGCAGATCGCCTCTGTTTACCCGTCCGCCCGCCAACGGGCGTCTCCGCAGTCTCTCTGTTTTTCCAAGCGAAGCCGTGCCTGGCACAGGTCGGAAAGGGCAGGCAGGTGGCCGGGTGGGGGCCCCGCCGGCTCTGCTCTCCCCGCCCGGGCCGGCTTCTCACAACGAGAGCCACCCCGGGGCGAGGCCTGGAAGCTGCTGGCCCGGAAAAACGGAGCAGCCCTTGGAGCGAGCGTCCGCGCCGCTCTAGAAATTTCCATGATTTGCCTGATTTGGGGATCGGAAAGATGCACGCAGTAGCGTCAGGAACAAACGCAAGGGCAGTGCCTGAAGAAGGTGGGCTTGGATCTGTCCCGTGGCCGGAGACCCGCCCAGGGCCCCGCAGGTGGAGGGCCGGCGGGGCGTCCTCCCGGGCAGGGCTCACCCCGCCCACCCCCGACTCCGCACGTCCTTCCTCCGAGTCCTGCCTCGGGGCTCCCAGGGCACCCGGGACTTTCCTGATAAAACGCTGCAACTGCCCACTGACTCTCCCCCTCCGCCTGGGCTCTGTGGGCCGGGGCTGCTGCAGCGTCCTTCAGGGACGTGCTCGGGGCCAGGCTCCCGGCACACGGAGAAGTGAGTCGAAGCAGACTCAGAGCAACGGCGGCAACAACAGCTCCGACCAGAGGGCAGCGCGGCAGCCGCTGGGCCCCACGAGCTGAGACGGCAGCTCAGGGGGTTCCGCGGGCGGCGGCAGGGCCGGGCGGCGCCGTGTCCAAGCAGCCGCCCCGCCCCCAAGGCCACTGCTGACCGCGGCGGGAATGGCCTCTCACGGCGGAACACGCCGGCACCCTGAGAGCAAAATGGAGCAGTTACCTGCTCCCCACTCGCCGGTTGCTAAAATTACTGCAGCTGCGACTCAAGGGCCGCTAAAAATACCCAGCTGGGAAACGCTCCGCAGAGACGGGCTTGTCTCCCCCCGATCCTCTGGGAACATCTGCGCGCTGAGCTGGTGCCTGAGTCTTTGACGAGCACTCTGACGGGCTCAGACCCACACACTTGCACACATGCACACAGACGCACACACACAGATATACACGCATGCACACACGTGCACACACAGACATATGCACATGCACACACGCACAAAGATGTGCACACAGATATACACACAAGCAAACACGTGCACACAGACATATGCACATGCATGTGCACACACAGATATATGCACATGCACACATGTGCACAGACACATGCACATGCACATGTACACACATACACAGACATATGCACATGCACAGGCATATGCACACACGCACACACAAATGCACACACAGACACACACATGTACAGACATACACATGCACACGTACACACAGGCATATGCACACACATGCACACACAGACACACACGCACATGTGCACGCACAGACATATGCACAGCCACATGTACACACATGCACAGACACGTGCACAAGCACACATGCACACACAGACATATGCACATGCACAGGAGTATGCACACAAACGCACACAAATGCACACACAGACACACATGCACACATAGACATGCACACACAGACACATGCACACATAGACATGCACACACAGACATACACACATGCATAAGCACACATGCACACACAGACATATGCACATGCTCAAGCACACACACATGCACACACAGGAATACAAAGCACAAAGACATGCACAAGCACACATGCACATGCACACATGTGCACACACAGACATATGCACAAGTATGCACACACGCACACACACATGCACAAGCATGCACACACACGGACACATAGACATATGCACAAGTACACACACGTGCAGACACATGCACAAGCATGCACACACGTGCACACACAGACATATGCACAAGTACACACACGCACACACACATGCACAAGCATGCACACACACGGACACACAGACATATGCACAAGTACACACACGTGCAGACACATGCACACACAGACACTCCACACACACGGTCTTGCAGAGCTCAGACCCAGGCCTGCCCAGGCAACACCTTCACCTCTGGCCCACTGCCACCTCCACCTGCCTCTGCTTTCTTTGCACCAGCATTGCTTTTCTCTTTAGGATGGTGTGTGTGTGTGCGTGTGCGTGTGTGCGCATGTGTGTGTGTGTGCATGCGCGCGTGTGTGTGTGTGTGTTGGGGGCAGTAAGTAGTCTGTGTTTGAAGCTGACAACGCTCTTTCGGAGACAGGCATTCCAGGACACCCACCCAGCGGGGACGGGGCAGAAACAGCCCCTCCGAGGCCGGACGCCGGGCCACACGCACGGCAGCTGTGGCGTCGCGTTTTGGGACGGGCCCGGCGGGCAAAGCTCTGGACGGCTGGGCACCGCGGGACCCTGCGAGGTCTGGCGCTGCGGCCCGCCTGCTGCTCGGAGCCAGTGGGGACGGGGGTGGCCCCGGGGGGCGGGGGGCGCTGGGGCCGCCTCTCTCTGACCCTGGGGGGCCCTTCCGGAACTGCACTCGCTCTGGACCCTGAGGGGCGTGTGGCGTCCTGCTCAGCTGGCCCTTGTCCACGACGGCCGCGGGGAGCTGCCTCCGGGCCACACCGGCTCCGTGCCGGGAGTCTGGGCTGGCCCCGCCCAGCTCCCCACGCCGCGGTGGGGGGCACCTGGAACAGGGCGGGACGCGATTCGATGCGGCGGGGTCGGAGAGGAGCCCGAGGTTTTGTGTTTCAAGAGGAACCTGCTCCCACGGCTGACGCTGCTTGTTTCGTGAGAGCCCCCCTCCCGGCGGCAGGTGCAGGAGGCTGAGCCGAGCCGGCTGGCGGCCCGATGCCGGGTACCAGGCGCGCTCTCGCCGCGGGTCCGGGGAGGGCTTTGCATGGAAAGGGCTGCCCGCCTACTCTGTCGCCCCCAGAGGGGGGCGATCCCTGCACGGTAAGGTGGCAGAGGAGGGAGTTTTTGTTTTTTATGAAGACAGAGGTCTCACTGTGTCGCCCAGGCTAAGAGTGCGTGCCGTGCGGGTCAGCCTGTCAACTGCAACCTCCAACTCTGGGACTCAAGCGATCCTCTGCCCAGCCTCCCGAGTAGCTGGGAATGCAGCATCGCCACCATGCCCGGCTGAATTTTTTTCTATTGAGTTTTTAGTTGTCCAGCTAATTTCTTTCTATTTTATTTTTATTTATTTTATTTTTATATTATATTTATTTTATTATTATAATTACTTATTTATTTTTAAATGGAGTCTCACTCTGTGCCCGGGCTAGGAGCCATGGCGTGCCTAGCTCACAGAACTCAATACTCTGGGCTCAAGATCCTCGCTGTCAGCCTCTGCCGGTAGCTGGGATCCAGGCATGCCCACCGACGCCACGGTAATTTTTTCTATTATATGTATTAGTTGTCCAGCTAATTTCTTTCTATTTTTATTTTATTTATTTATCTTTATTTTATATTATATTTTTTTTATTTTATTTAATTACTTATTATTTTTTAAAAATGGATTCTCTGCTGCCCGGGCTGAGTGCCATGGGCTCGCCTAGTCAAGCAACTCAACTCCTGGGCTCAAGTGCATCCTCCTGGCTCAGCTCCCGGTTAGGGCTGGGATACAGGATGCACTATTGCGGGCTAATTTTTTTAATATTTTAGTTGTCCAGTAATTTTTTTCTCTTTTAGTAGAGAGGGTTCTCGTCTTGTCCTGCTGGTCTCGCGAATCCTGACTCGAGGATCCCCCGCTCGGCCTCACCCGGGTGCCAGGGACGACAGGGTGAGCACGTGCGGCTTAATTTCGCAGGGGGACTTGGAGACTGGTCTGACCGAGGGACCCCTTGCCCTTCCTCCGGATCTGGCACGTCCTGAGCTCAGAGCCGGCAGCGCCGTGGCCGCAGGCTGCCCGACCCGTGCGCCCCGCACTCACCTCCCCCTTTAGCCGCTCGATCTCGATCTCTCCGTCCTCGATCTGCTGCCGCAGCTGCTTGGCCACGGTCTTCTCGGTCTCCACGATCTGCAGCAGGTGCAGGTACTTCTGCTTCAGGGCCTCGTGCTCGGTGGCCAGCGCCCGGTAGCTGGGGGCAGACGGACACGCCAGGTCAGATGCCGCCTCCCCGCCCCCGGGAGCCACCCGCTTCCCGGCACGGGCAGAAAGTCCCGGCTCCCTGACATGGAGTCGGAGCCCTCAATCTGAGAGTGAGGTTGCTGCTGCTCCAGCCCTTCCCAAACCTTCCTATGGCCTGACTGCTGGCTCCTCCCCCGGGTCTGGTGTGTGCTCTCTCTCTTCCACACACACCTGCTCCGTGGCTTTGCACAGTTACTGTGTTTCCCCCAAAATAAGACGGGGTCTTATATTTATTTTCCCTCAAGAAGACACCAGCCTAGGGCTTATTTTCAGGGGTGTGTTATTTTCCCCTCAGAGCCTCAGCTCGCAGCACGCACAGGACGGCCGGGACCCGACAGGGGGAGCCGACCTTGCTGGTGGGGCTGCCCGCACCTTTCCGGTCACCTCTGGGACAGCAGCTGTCACGATGGGGCGGACGAGAAGGGCTGCTCGTGTTCTTTCCCGCTCCGCGACGACACGCACGGGTTGTGCAGACGCTGCGCAGCCACGCCCGTCACCAGGGCTGATTTTCGGGGTGGGGCTTCTATGGCGCACATGCTTAGACATCCTGCCGGGGCTTGTTTTATGGGGAGGTCTTGTTTTCGGGGAAACACGGTGGATGTTCTGCCTGGAACATGCCTCCCTCCTCGTTCTTTCCTGGGCTAGCTCCGCCCGCTTTCCCAGGCCGGTTCTGATTCCCAGTTGTAATGCCGCCTCCAGGAAGCCTTCCCTGGTCACCCCCAGACTGTGGGGGGTGTTTCTGCAGCGCCCAGGTTTTCGTGACCAGGGCGGTGGCCGCCTTGCTGGAGGGCAGGGCCACGCCTGTGGGCTGCTCCCGTGTCCCTTGGGGCCTGGCACATCTGTGGCACAGATAGACGGCTGGGCAGAGGGACATGTCAAGCCCTTTAGGATACACAGAGGAGGGTCAGGCGTGTGGGTCTCGCTGCGGGGGACAGTGGGAGAGCCAGCACAGCACATCTGGCTGCCCAGCGGGGTGTCACGGGCTGTTAGTGCTGTAACAGGGGCCAGCAACAGCGACTTATAATCAAAAAGGGCTTCCTGGAGGAGGAGGAGGTCCCTTGACCCTGAGTGGGAACCCTCGTGGTCCCGTTTTCTCTCTTCCCCTTGGCGGTCTGGGGTTTGCCCCCAGCACCCACAGGAAGGGGGTCCCTCTCTGGGTCACCTACTGCCTTCTGCTTGGCAATCTGGCGGGGTGAGAGGGCAAGTCTCAGCTGCCTTGGACACGGCGAGCCGGCGGGGTGCGGGGTAGGGCGGTCCGCTCTGCGCCGGCTCAGGGAGGGGCTGGGCCACGCGGGGCAGCGACAACGTCCCCGAAAACCCCGGGCTGGAGGGGAGGACCCGGGAGGCCACCGGAGGGAAGGAGCTTTGCAATATGAGAGGGGCTGTGCCGCAGTGGCGTTGGGGGGAAACTGAGGCAAGTCCTGTCCTGGTGGTCTGGGAGGGCGTCCTGCAGAGGAGGGTGGGAGCGGGGCCGCCCAGACAGGGCCGTGGCTGGAGCAGGAGCCGGCCCAGGAAGCCTGTCTGCAAAGTCAGACGACGGGTCTTGGGTTCGAGGTTCCGCCTGACCGGAGTGGGGCTCGGGCTTCTCTTGCGAACATGGAGGTGGACGCTCGATGGTCCCCGCCTTCCCGGGGGACCGGCTGCCTTGGCCGGCAAAGGACATTCCTCCCAGAGCTCGAAGCCGAGTTATCCCGGTTTTCCCACTGCACCGCGCCCCCCTCCGAGGTGGCGAAGGCTTCTCCATCAGCCTCCTCTTCCTGGGCCTGGTGGGACGGCCTGCCGGCCCCTCCCCCTCCCCTCCACCGCCCCCCAGCACACCTGCGGCGGCCGCTGAGCACCTGCCCCGTGTGGCACAGTCTGCCGACTCGCAGCCCCTCAGAGCTGGGAGGGAGCTCGGGGGACCCGAGAGGCCCACGGTCTCATTTTGTAAGTGAGGAAACTGAGGCTCAGAGAGGGGATGTGAGTTGCCCCAAGTGACAGTCAGTCAGAGCCGGCCTGGAGCTGCAGTCGGGCTGTAGCCATAGTGATGTCGCTACACTCTGGACCGTTTCGTTGCCTGGTTTTTTTGTTTGTTTGTTTGTTTGTTTTTTATTTTTTTGAGACAGAGTCTCACTTTGTTGCCCAGGCTAGAGTGAGTGCGGTGGCGTCAGCCTAGCTCACAGCAACCTCAAACTTCTGGGCTCAAGCAATCCTGCTGCCCCAGCCTCCCGAGTAGCTGGGACTACAGGCATGCGCTACCATGCCTGGCTAGTTTTTTCTATGTTTTTAGTTGTCCAGCTAATTTCTTTCTATTTTTAGTAGAGACGGGGTCTTGCTCTTGCTCAGGCTGGTCCCCAACTCCTGACCTCGAGTGATCCTCCCTCCTTGGCCTCCCAGAGTGCTGGGATCACAGGCGTGAGCCACCGCGCCCGGCCCATGCTTAACTTTTTAAGCAACTGCCTGACGCTTTTGCAAAGCGGTTGTGTCCTCTTATGCTCCAACCAGCTGGTGCGGGAGTTTGAGCTGTTCCGCCCTTTTCCACGGATGACTGCCCGCACCATTTTGCCGCCCTGCCGTGCGGGCTTCGGCGTTTCACTGTTCCTGGGACATTTTTGTATTGGCTGATTTTCTAAATCAACGACGTGGTCCTGGTTCCCGGAATGCACAGCACGTTAGGATGCTGTGTTCGTTCACACGTCAGCGCTTGGAAAGCCCCTTCCCGGAAATAGCGGCATTTGGTCCTAAAACTGGCGCCGTCCTGGGCTCCGCTTTGGTGCTGGGGAGACTGTGGTCCGTCTGCTCCCCTTGAATCCGGCCCTTCTGCACCGGGATCCACCCTCTGCGATGCCGGGATTCCCGTTCGAGCCGTGACTCTGAGCTGCTGCTGCTGCCTGGTCAGCGTGACCCTCGATGGCCCCAGCTGCCTTCTGTCACCGACTGTCTCTGCATCATCCCTGGAATTCTCTTTCCTTATCAGTGCCTTTATTCAAGGTTTTTTTTTTTTTTGCAGAATGGTGTTGAAATGCTCATATCTACACCCATCCAATCTGCCCCCCAGTGCTCCCACTCGGGCCAAGCGCTGCCCCGTTTCCGGTGTCCGCGGGTTGTCCCGTGTGCCCGTGGGTGGCAGTGACGCCCCCAACACGGAGTCTGTGCTCAGCGCAGCCTCTGAGCGCCCCAGCTGTGCACAGGCGTGTCCCGTCCGAGCACCGGCCAGGCCCGGCGCCGCTCAGCTTCCCAGACGGGACGCGATCGGTGCGTGTTCGGGGCGGTGGCCACGGACCACCCGTGTCCTGTCTACTGTCCTCCAGACCACGCCGTGGGCCCCGGGGCCGCTCGAGTGGCATCCACCGCGCACGGGGCGTGACCTTCCTCGTTCGTTCGTGACAGCCTGGCTCCGCGGCCAGCCTGGGCTCGCCTCGGGGACAGAGTCGGAGATGGGGCCGGAGCTCGGGGACGTGGTCACGGCTGTCGCCACGGCGAGGGGTCCCGGAGTGGCCGGCCCGCGTCAGACTCAAGGAAGAGCCCCGGAAACCCCCCTCTCTCCGTCCGCACGTCCACCGTCCACACGCGCACGGCCAGTACTCATCACCCGTGCCCCGCCCCCCTCGGTCCCTGTGTCACCGAGCTCCACGCCCAAACTGACGCCCAAACCCACAGCCGCCCTGCACGTTCTCCGCCGAGTCCCGGCCCCGGCTGTGCCTTCCTCCGGCTCTGGGCTCCTCCCCGGGTGCTGATTCTGCGCAGGAAGGGGACGTGGAGACTCCCCACCCGCCATGGGGCTGGCTCTGCCTGGGGCCACGTCCCGGCCCACGAGCCCCTCTGTCTCCCCCAGGACCAGAGCACCCGCCCGCCGGGAGCCCCGCTCTCCCTGTGGCTTTCCCTGTGCCCCGGCCTCTCCCCAGCGTCCAAGCGAGCCCCCATCCAGACGGGGAACGGGGCGGAGCAGGCGGGAATCCGAGTCACACCGGGGACAGGTCTGGAGGATTCCCGACTCAGGACAAACGGGGAGGCCAGAGAGAGGGGAGAGACCCCGTCCGAGTTTGCAGCAACGAGCGGCTGCACCTGGGTCGGAGTCTCAAGGGCTCAGACTTTGGCGGTTGGGAAGCCTGTGCTCGAACCGGATCACACCGGTTCCCCGAGATGCAGAAGCACAGGAGCTTGCCGGGCCAGACCAGGCTGGAGCCGTCCCCCACGGTCCCAGCTCCGGGGACCGGACCCTGGGCGCTAGGGGGACCCTGCCAAGAGCTGCTGCCCGCGGCTTCTGCCCTCCCTGTCCGCGCCCTCCTCGTCCCGGGCTGGGTCTGCCCCAGAGCAGGGCCAGGGGTCTCCCCGGCCGGCCGGCCCGCGGGGCCACGTACCTGGCGTGCGCGATGGCCGCCACCCACTCGTCACAGTCCTTGGCATCCTCAGTCCGCAGCTCCAGCGCCTTCTGGTTCTCGTGGCTGAAGTTCACGGTGAAGTAGTGCTGCGCGGGGAGGAGACAGCTGGGTTAGCTCAGCGGGCGTGCGCGGACCCGGCGTGGGGCTCCCTTCCCCGCCCAGCCGCTCCGCGAAGCGCCCGCCGCCCCTCGGCCCTGCACGGGTCTTTCTTTGCGGTTGCAGCGGTTCTCGGCTTCAGATTCCCGATGCAAGGAGGCTTCCATACGGCCGGACGGAGCCGATGCTCAGGACCTTACACGGGGGAAACGAAACGCACAGACCCCGTCCGCCAGCGCGTCGCAAAGACGCGAGTTTTAAGCCGCCAGGCGGGCGGGAGGGAGGCTGGGAAAACACACCGAGAACGTCCGCTTTGGGGACGGACACAGTCGGACGCCGCACACGTTTAGCTCACCCCCCCAACAACGGACTGAGTGCTCTCTGCCGTGTCTCCCCGAAAACAAGACGGGGTCTTATATTTATTTCTCCTCGAGAAGACACCCCAGGGCTTATTTTCAGGGGATGTGTTATTTTTTTTTTAAGTACGGTACAACCATCTACATTTATTCAAATACAGTGCAGTCGTCTTCTTCTGGAATATCATCGTCACTCTCCAGACCCCGAATCCCATCCTGAGTGTCTTGTGACTCTGTTTCCCTTAGAGCCACCGCCCCGATCTCTCCTGTGGAGCCACAGAGCTCTCACGGGCGGATGGGAAGGGCTGCTCGTGTTCTTTCCCGCTCCGCGACGACACGCACGGGTTGTGCAGACGCTGCGCAGCCACGCCCGTCACTAGGGCTTATTTTCGGGGTGGGGCTTCTATGGCGCACGTGCTTAGACATCCTGCTGGGGCTTATTTTATGGGGAGGGCTTGTTTTCGGGGAGACACGGTAGGTCCTGCGGTTGGAGCAGTGGACAGACGCGGCCCCTGTGAGACCCCCGGGAGCTGCCGGGTGCCGGGTGCGGGTGGCTCGGAGCTGGGACAACTTTGGCCCCCGAGGCCCC